CAAGGATTGGTACCGTCAGCAAATTGGACTCCTTGCAGAAAGATGGGTCACAGTCATCGAAAATGATGGGCTTTATTTCGCAGAGTAACTATGTTTTGTTGCTGTTTTATATGTCATCAAATGAAATGTTCATCTATGCACAAGAACTTTTGAGACACCCTAGTAAAAGCCTATCATATGGTTGATACGTGATTAACAATTACGTTGCTAGGCATAGCCTGGCATTCCAATTTTTATGGACACACGGCAAATACCTAACGCATATAGACAAAGGCTCTTTATGGTCCAGCCCATATTTCCCTGTGTAAAAATCGTCTGGGGGTAATGCAATTTCTTGCCAAAGCTTATCTTAGGCCCAACCAAGGCGTAGGTGGTATAGGCATATAACTTGCCGGAGAAGCGAAGCAGCTCGACGGTAACGTCATGCATAGGCCTTGCATAAGCCCATTACACAACCTGTATGACTTCTAAAGATGTGCATCACATGGGCCAATGTCCTGTTTGTGCCCCTTTTCAGAGTCAGATATCAAGGATTAATGTTTGATAGGGCAGATATTTTTGTGTAGAGAAATATTATCTTTTTCCCTTCTTACCCTTTGCTATTAGGACTGTGGTGTATATGTTTAGGCCTATCAGCACTGTAACCCAGCTTAATTCCTGATTCTTAATTTGTGTGGATTTCAGCTTTGTACTGGAGACTTTGGAGACTGAAACCGAGATGGGCAGCTTGTTGTGACACAATTGTGATGGATTCTCCTGGCAATAAAATTGCTCTTCAAGACCTTTTGAGAGAAGCTGAGTTCTTCCCATGAACTTCTTTCAACTTTGGTGGGTGTCTTTTATCAATCATAGGCCATCCTTTGCTTTCTATTTTTTTTTGGGACTGGGCTGATGTAAGCTCAAATCTGCTGAGATAAGCCTTAATCTTGACCCCTCCTGTTGTATTTTTGTGCAGATAGCCATGTCACTTCCTGCCATTTGTTTCTCTATACAGTTGACATACCTTTAAACATTTAACCTAATGTTAGGGAAATTGAGACATTCTGGCTCATGGCTGAGACTTCCCTGATTTAACTCTCCTTGTTGCTCCAGAACTTGAGTTGCATTTATTTCAAGCACTGTGGATTTCATTTTTGTAGTTTTCCATTTGAAATTCCAGTTCAGTGACTAAATAGATTCAACTTTTGAAGCTCACTCAATTTGTCACTCTGTCTTGCTAAGCAGGTATAGTGTCCGTCAGGAATTAAATAGACCCTTTTCTAATCTCTCTAACAGGATTGCCAGACATCAGGAACTTTCTTGGAGAAGATGGAGAATGAGAGTGACAGGAAGAAAATAATATGCTGCATTTTTTTTAAATGAAAGGATGACCTATTGGAATCTAATATGTTTTGGAACTGAGGAAAAAGAGAAGCTAAATCAGTTGAGACTACTTCACTGGTTAGCCCAGCATTATGAAGCATATGTTCTCATCCCAAGCCAGCATCTTGATCAAATAACATTGAAGTATCTAAAATAAATAAATACTGGTATTATCTAGCTAACTTGATAATTTTTCCAATTTCTATTTAGTTTGGATGCTTCTTTGCAGGTTACGGAACAAATGCAGTTCATAGCCTGTCTGATGTTGAATGGCTTTTGCCATATTTTTTTTTAATACTCATTTTTCATAAGTATGGGATATCAGAAATTTTGCTGTTGCTATGACTTAGTGTGAACACATTCCCCTAGAAAAAATTCAATTTACTTTTAATTCAGGGCTCAACTGGCTTTCAAAGTTCCTTTATCACTGAGGCGATGCAAACCTGTGAATAGAATCATGTAGATAGGATTTAACTGAAGCTGCATAATATTTTGCCCATCTTTTTATCTCTATACAGGATGGAACAAAAATCAGGAGTCAATGGGATATAACTATTTCTATTTTTTAATTATAGTTATGGCAGCCAATTGCTTATCAAACATGTATCATCATGGAAACTTGATATTACTGTTCTGTGTCCTACAGTCATGTACGGAATTGTAGGGTGAATGTTTTGAGCATCTGTAAGGGTCTTGTCAATGATTACTGGCTTTTTCTCCATTATATGAAAATTTCACTAAGCATTGCTGTATCTGTTCAGAGGATACTTGGAAAGATTTATCTTGGAGAAATGAGCAAGGGAATTTGATTCAAGGCCTCATGTGGCAAGGATGCTTTTTCAAAGATTGATGAAAAGGATAAATGGGGGGAAATAATAAAAGTAAAAAAATAAGTATCAGTGACTGCTGGAGAAGGAGAACTTTTGCAACTGAGCCAAGAGGCTCAACAGCAAGTTCTTTTTAATGAATATTGTTCTTTGTACAAAAGTAGCTCAAAAGTACTTAAGACATCTTAATTTCATAATGATTTTGCTTTCCTTGGAGATTCTGTTTTTATTTTTCTGACTGAGAGCAGTCCAGTATCTTAAAACAGACTGGTTGCAGACATTTTAGCAAACTTTCAGGCAACTTGAAGGATTTAAGGTGCCAAAGTGAATGGCAATGATCAAGAGAATATCTCGTTCTCAAATTGATTTTATAATGCAGAATTACAGATTTTTTCTTTTTTTTTTATTATATTAAAGAGAGATTATTGATATTTCCTGAACTTTTTTTGAGTTGTATTTCATTTCAGGACATATTTATTTGACCATTTTTTCCATGAAGAGGAAATTATGCTTATGGTAATAGTCCAGTTCTGTCATTTCTTCCTTTCTAGGACCCTGAAAAACTGCAGCAGTCAATCACTAAAATTAAAAAATGAAGGCAAATCTTTTCTGGTAAGCTTTTTGTAATGGAGATCTGACAGAAGGTTCCTGTTCTCATAATTTCTATTCACCTATTGGATGATGATATGCTGAGATTATATAGTTACTTTGTAATTGTAGCAGTATTTTCAACTTTTTTCTGTGAATTTTCACACTTTACCATCAAGCTGAGAGAATTTTATGATCTAAATTCCAAAACTTCAGTATTATTGCAGTTTACCTGAAATTCCACTAATGGCTAATTTTTCCATCTAAGTCCTTATATGAATGTGGAATTCCTGCTATGAACACACTATTTCCCTCTAGCCTAACCATCAAACTGGAATTCTAACTGGAAACAGCAATTTCAAACTGAAGCCAGCTTTTAACTGTAAACTTGGTGGTTTATATTAGGAAGTGTCCAGCTTGATTCACATGGGAAAATCTAACTGGAAAAGGCATAAAAATGTATGACTTGATGTATGTAGGTGCTGGAAATCCAGCTTCCTGGAACTGTTGCATTTTTCCAGTTGGTTTCTTTTTTTCTTTTTTTTTTACAGCACGAATTTCATCCTGAAACCATTCTTTCAACTTTTTCCAGGATCCATATTAGGAGTGCTGGTTAAGAAGCTCTTGGAGCACTGCAAGAAAATTCTTTGCATATCAAAGAAACTTATATGATATGAATTTAAACTATGGCTGTCAATTTGATTAATTTTATCGACAGATTAATTGATTAAAGTATTAATATCAATTAGCAAATTTAATTGAGAGTAATTTAATTTTAATCAACCCCCTAATCTCCCCCTGAATGCCTATTTTTCCCTTTATATTTTTTTATAATAAAATGTAATTTTATTCAATTAATCGATCGATTAAATTAATCGAATTGACAGCCCTAATTTAAACTAAACCAATCCCACTTTTTTGTATCAGATAATGAGTGGTTCTTGTACAGTGTCTTCCTATCTATGGAAGTAGCAGTAACATTTGCAAAAGAACATCCACAATTTTATCAAACTCAGTGTGTGATGAATGCATTCTCTTCTATCACTTTCATGAAGTCTGATTGAATCCCATGACCAGTTTTTTCTCATAACCCACTGAATATGATAATACTCTATAGTGTGAATCTGTTATCAAACATCCCTTGGCATTCTCTATACATTCTCTATATCAAGAACTACCATTATTTGAAGCATAGAAAGGCTGGATCATGTCAAAACGGTAGTTTGCATTCACTCAATTGTGGAAAATGCTTGATTTTTTTGTTTCTTTCATATGTGAGAAATTTGCATTATTTGCTCAAAACAACCCTTGTATGCCAGTATTTTCCTAAAAAGGCTTTTTTCTTCTACAAATAAATTATTTAATTGTTGGCAAAGTGGTGATTTTTTGGAAGTTTGGCCTCACCTACTGTTAAAAGAAAAATTAAATTTAATTAACAAACAAGAGACTTGAGTTGGAAAAATGTTCATGACCATTGTCATAGTAATGATTCCAATTGAGTTCACCCAGGTTGCAATGTATCTCCATTCAAAGTTGCATGACAAGTGCAGTGATCTGGGTTCATCATTACACACATATTTATGTGCTCTAGAGGTTGAGAAGTGACCAATTCCACTTCGTTTTCGATACAGATGTGATTCGTTTTTATGATTCTGCTGCACTTCTTTTTTTTATTTCATGAGACAATGCTGCATCTCTCACATGACAGTCATGCAAAAAAGTTTGAATCTTCTGTGCTTTGTTTCTGGTTTCAGATGAAGAGCTGATGGGTAATGCTGTTGTTTCATCATGAGTCAGAGATTCAAGCTAGACTTTGGAAGCTTCTGTCATTTCTCCAATGGTGCTCAATCACCTGCAATTCATACAGAATGCTACTCTTTGTATTGTGATTGGTACTTTTCCATTGTATTCCATTTCATTCAGTTCCACTTCCAAATGACCTACAGGTCATTTGGAAGTGGAACATTATGTGGTGTTTCAATATACCTGCTGGTCCATAGCCTCAACCTTATCCATTCCCTACCTTGTTACCCCTGATCTTTACTTCTTTTCAACATTTTTCTCACAGACAGGATTAAAATTGTACAGAAATAGTCAATGCCCCTTTGCCCATAACTGAATAATGCGTTCTTAAAAAACAGTCTCACTTTTTGTATTTTCACAGATGGTTCCAATGCGCAGTGGTGCCCAACCTTTGACTCATGAGTCACATAGTTCACCCACAGCCATCACAGGCCAAATGCAGTCACTAGTATTGTAGGACACTATTTTAAGGAAACCTGAGGGTATTTATTGTGGATTAGGGCCTTGTGGGCCATGGGTTGGGCACCATTGCCTTATGGTATAGCAATATTCACTGCTTCATGAAGTAGATTCTGATTCATGGAAATCTGTGCATAGCGATTCACAAACTGCTTTCGATTTGAGAAGCTCTGAAATTTTAGTTCCTTTAGTATTTTACAGTTTCGTGAAGTTTCCAGATTCAAAATCAACCTTGGCTATCATAGTTGAATTCAAACTTTTATCTTTTTAGCAATATTTTATCCCTTTCTTGAAAGGTTCCCTGGCAACAAGGAACGGGGATTGATTCCCCTTTCTTGAATCCAGAGTAACGAATTAGCTGAAGCTGCCAAATCGTCGATATTCTTGGGCAGGGGTGGAAAAAGTTATGTAACCTGGTAACCAGGTTACCGGGAAGGGTAGCAACCGATCGGGAAGACTATGGAGGGATAACAAATTATTAACTGAGAGATGGAAAGCGAGGGGGAGAGAATAAAATTATGCGAAAATAAAACGCGGGAAGATGAGAGATGGTCAGAGTGTTTGATATGAGAGATGATAATGGATCGAAAGAAGGTAAACGACGACTGTTAGCGAAATTATAGCGGAACCAGGAAGACATCTCCAAGCGACTGACGTCGGTAAGTTCAGGGACGAGTACGTATCTGGATTTTTTCTCCCCGTGCCGAGCGCGTAGGCAAAAAGATTTTTGCTCATTTCCTCGATGCTGGGGTTGTAGGTTCTCGCCCCAAGGAGCAGATAGAACAAGGTCGGATTAAGAAGGGGGCTGTTGCCCCGGGCCCCACTCGTCCAGCCCCCCCCCCCCGAAGGAAATTAAAAACGTTTTTAAAAAAGCATTTTGCGTAAAGTGGGGGGGGGAGGGGAAGGTTAGCCCAAAGAATCAACTTGCCCGGGCCTCGCAACTTCTTAATCCGGCCCTGGGATAGAAGGTGAGAAGTAAGGCACATATAAAATTTTTCTGATCGTAATGAAGAGACGGCCTTAGTCATCGGCGTGAAAAAGGGATTATGATTTTGCTTGCGCATTTCACGAGGCGAGAGACACTTCACGAATTAAAATTAGGTGGCGTCTTGCGCCTCGAAAACCTTTGCTCTTTTATCGATCGGCAGTCGGCCTCGGGTTACCTGGCTTTCCACTGAGATTATTTGATCCTTCGCGTCTCTTTTCAGGTGACGTTATTTGACCCCAAAGTCGAGAGAATACATCGGATGCACGTCTCTCTCCCTTACCATGACTATCATGCGACTATTAATGTCTAGCCCAAGGAAAACAACACGAGACGAGAGGGAGTTTCTCTCCCGCCGATCATCGGTCCCGCCTCATTTCCAACTCTGGGTGGTTTGATTTTCCTCCAGCTCCCTCGTACTCTTCGAGTCAGTCCATAACTCTGGAATGCACTGGTCGGCAACCAACTCAATTCCCCAGAGGGGAGGGGGGGGGGGGGGGGGGGAATGGTTAAACGGCCAACATCCATTAAGAGTCATTAAAATGAAAATTTTAATGAACGTCTAATGTGAAATATGCAGTCGAATATCTACTGTCAGACCGTAATGTGCGATATCAAAACATAAATAACAACAATCGCCACGTCACGGTCCAATCTCATTCCGCATTCCACGTACGTAGTATTGTGGTACCTGGTACGTAGCAGTTTTTGTGTCCTGCAACTCGTATGCATCTCGTCACTGAGAAAATATTTGCTGGTGTCTAGCGACGAAGTGCCCTAATTGAACTCTCAATCCCTTAGGCCTCTTGCGAAGAAGCGTAACACGTTGAAGTGACATGCCGTTTCAGAGGTCGTTCGCAGACTGTATAGACAGAATTCAAGTATGTATTCAATAAAATAAATATTCCAGTGCAGAAATAAAAATGTTTATCGAAGTGCTCCTCCGCAGAAAAACCTTTAAAGGCCTCACCCTCGGCCACGAGGAAATTTGTCACAGTCCGCTCCTCTCTCACAGGGTCCTCGGCTGTGATTGTTTACTTTCGCTCTGGTAAGGTTTTTCATTGCGAAATTTATGGAATTGTATGTAGGCTTGCCATAATCATAAAATAGCAAGATGCAGATTTTAGGTGCAAGCGTTCTAAGATTAAAATATTTAAGTCCTCGAACTTTTCTACCCCCTCGTATAAGCGTTTTCATGCCTAGTTGTGGCTTAAAATTGAACTTTTGCCAACCCTCCCCCCCCTCATATTTTTGCCTCTGCTTAGTCCTGGGAGCCACAGGGTCATTTCACACACCTGCTAAACTGGGAAGTTAAACTATAGTTACCGGAAATAAGAACTTTGTCCACCTCTGTTCTTGGGTCAAGTAATTTTAATTTCGAATGGGTTTATATCAGTGGTGCCTTCTTGATGAAAATCTAAGGAGGTCAGCTCATGATCTTCACAATGAGGAAGAATTAATTGAGGAGTTCTCTGGTGAAAGGGCGTAAGTGCCCATACGCCCTTTTTCCATATATGTGTACATGGCTTGAGGTGACTTGTCATAGGATAGGATGGTCAGCAGGTAGTTCATATGCATATTCAACAAAGGAGAAGCAGATTTTTCTATGCTTTCAATATATAGCAGGCCAACTTCCTGACAATTTCAATATGGCTGTCTCCATGAATATTCTATTAGCTCCTGCATTGCTGAACGATTTTGGAGGAATAATTCCATTCTTTCGAACTGAAAGTGAGATTGAGGAAGACGCCAGACAGGAGGAAAGGGGAAGAAAGAGGCCTAGTCATCCAAGTCTCTGGAAGGATGCAGGAAGTTTCCGAAATCCATGGAACAGTTGGAGATTCAGATGATGAATAAATTAATAATGGATTACTGATGAGTTATTGGTGAATGAAACTTGCCCAAAATATTCACATTTTTATTGCCATTCTTTGAGGAAGAGTTGATTTGATATCTGTAGATGTATTTCTTGGTAAATTATGATATTTAACTAGAAAGAAGTGGTGAAAGACTGGTTGAAAAAAGTTCCAGCAACACGGATAGGAAAAGGGCGTATGTGCATAAACACTTTCTGCCTGCAATCTAGCAATGTGAGATAAAGAAATTCGTTAAAACTCCAAGTTCAATTGGAAAAGGTGTAAGACTCCATTTGACTGAAAACTGAGTTTTGACCAGCTGCAGATTAGCTAGTTTTTGTCGTTTATCTCGAATTGCATCTTTTAAGCATACGTCCTTTTCCCAGACGGCTCTTCAATTGTGCTGTTATTGCCAGCATGAAGCACAAAAAGTGTATTTAAGCCAATATTTTCGTTTGATGAGTAGCTTTTCTTGTAGTGGCAGGGGGGGGGGGGGGGGGGGGGGGGGGGAAGGTTAATGAGGGGGGGGGGGGGGGGGGGGGGGGGGGGGGGGGAGGGAAAGGCTAATGGAGATCTCTCTCCATATTGGCACTTCACAGAAGCATACAAGATGAAATTTGAAAGGGGTGAAAGACCCCCTGAAGCTTGGATTCCCCCACCTCGGCCTCTCGTTAAAGTTCTATGTCTTGCTTGGGTCCCGTGCGGGCTATAACATTGGCATAGGCATTAAGGCGGGAGGGGGGTAAAGGTTGCGAGTAGAATCTTCGCAGAGAATGCTGTCATGGAGGTGTGGACTTCTTATAGGGTGATGTTTATGGAAGGATATAAAAATGTATGCATGGTTTTCTCGGGGGTGAAGTTGTCACTTCACATTCACTTTGACATTACGAAAGTGTTCATGTTCATTAATAGTATAATCGAGACACCAGTCGGGCTTCCGACAAATGTTGCTCAGTTAATGATTAAATGTAAACGTAAATTGAGAGGGCGAGAAGTTGTCAAGTGAGTGGGAAGAGCACCCCATCAGATATGGGTCTGCACGCCTCTGGCACTTTATATTGAATGGAAACTATGTTTATGTTTAAGCAGAATGGATATTGATACTTTCTTTAAACACTGGAGAGAGTAGAAATGCAGCCGGTCTGAGGAGAATTGACGATGTTATCCCCTTTTGAGGTTCAGAACTTCATCGAAGCAGGTCGTATCTAGCTCCTTAACGAATATGATTTTAAAGAATACAGTACAATATAAGTAACTAACTGTAACCCATGAAACATTCACGTCTTCCTAATTGAAACTAAGCCAATTATATCCCATAACATTCAAATGTGACATATCGTACGAATTTGAAACTCTCAGGTGTAAAGTAGAGACTGTGGGGTGCTTCTCGTCACCAGAGACCCCCCCTCCCCCCAATTTCCCTTTCCCCAACAATTTTCAGCGAGTTCTATCTCATGGCATTCTAGAGAGACAACGTTCGAATTTCAAACAGCTACGCTTTGTGGATCAAAAATAAAGAATTTGTTTTGTCATCACGGTACCCCATTTGCCTGTATCCTAATTATCTGCGAGTTTCGCCCCCTAGTATTTGAGTGAGTCTCGTCGTTCGGATTTCGAACGCCTAGGTTATTGGGCGAAGAACAGAGAACGATTTTGAGCTCCGCGTGGGATGCGGATCGGATCGATCCGACCCTTGGATCGGGCATGCAGCTCGGTTGGCGATCGAGATTCCGTTTGGGTGCGGACGAATAATTCATCAGAGACCTCGAGTTCTGTATCTGAGAGGCCTAAGCGGGCTACGGACCGCCCCGATTGCCCCGACACGATCCGTGGGTCGGCCCCGCAGACTCGGTCGGCGATCAGTTTCGAGTCTGGTGGGGCCGCGATTCAAACGGGCCGATCTGATAGGGGTTCAGAAAAATCTACTTGTGCCGGCCTCCGGCGAACACGGACAGGAGGACAAACGTCGACTATTATTATATAGATAACTTTTCCACTTGCAATGGCGTATAACGTCTTCAACAGAACAAAGGTAGATTTTGCGAGCGAGGTCTGGGTAGCTGTACTCCTCTGAGCCCTGATTGCTTCACTTGAAAAGGTTCACACGCACCAGCCATGCTGTTATC